TCCTGATTGATCTTATAATTACATTTTTAATCAACAGTTTTGTCAGTAATAGCAAATGGTATCTTCCCAGTCTGAGCAACAGCACAAATTCCAGATATATTAAGTTTACTGTCATAAATTAATTTCACAACTTCAGATTGTCACAACTGAGAAGCTTAAAACAGCAATCATGGGGATTTTTCATTTAAGTGATTTAAGCGTTCTTTAAAACACCTGCAGACTGACTTGTCGACAGGTTTATTTGCAAAAAAAAATAAAATAAAAAGGAGTTCAGAAATGAAGATAATCATTAGCTGCAGATGCATGTTGTACGTTGCAGTCCTGTTTTATCTATTCGCAGTGTGTGCGTCATGTTGTAAAACACTTGTGTAGATATTTGCTGAGACTTGCATATTTAGTTGCTTTGTCCTGAATCACAGACGGCCAACACTTGGCCAGTGGATCGCTTCAGTTTTGCTTTCATTTACCAGAGAGCGAGCCCTGGAGGAGACGTACAGGAGGAGGTTTGCTGAAGGAAGCTTTCTACCAAGTATTTATGAATACACAGTGTGTGTGTGTGTGTGTAAACAGTGCTGGTGTGTGAATTTCACCGTTTCAATAAAAAAAAAAAGGATTCCAACAACAGCATTGAATATAAAGTTAGTGAAAGTATTCCAGATGTTCTCTCCGTCTTTAGTTTTGCCTCACAGCAGTCTGATCGGCATCACTACAAACTGCAAACTCAAAAAACAAACTAACTATAAACCTGCTGTATTGAACACCATCAGTGAAATACAAGTGAAACATGTAGTCTGTACATCAGAGCATTCAGATGGTCACCAGTGATGTGAGCTCGCCTGAACCGTCGGGACTAAAAACTCTCTGATGTTGTCCTGCTTCACTTCATCAGAGTCAGAATGTTCACATGTTGTCTCTGATCTGGGAGAAGTTCAGAGCTGCAGCTGGATCATTACAAACACATCATCATCCTGACAGGGCTTTGTTTTGTTTTATTTTTCATGTGTACTGTGTGCCATCTCCTCCTAACCAGTACCGTATATACTGATATTTACACATCAGAACAAATCTTACAAGTGTTCCTTTTATTCTGACACAAGAATGATTCAAACAGACTTTGTGGCTGCAGAGATAAAACTGTTTTTATTGTGAGTATTACAACCTGCTGAACGGGTTAAACAGCTTCAGGTCCAAAGAATCACTTCAGAGTAAAATCAACTTTTCTGATTTTACACTTTGGTTTCTGATTAAACAAACAAGTTTACATGTGAGTCGCTGTGAGAAACAACTGCAGGAGTCTGTAAACCTGCAGCGTTTGACTTTGATTTTCTCATTTTGAAACAAAAACTGACAAAAAACAACTCACATGAATTCTATGTTTGGTTTTCGAACATCAAACTAATTTAAAACAGATTGATTGTTTTAGTTGCTTTTTAATTGTGACGCCCGAAAGGTTTTTGGTTTAAAACAAAGAACAGAAAAAGGTTTTTGTTTGTTTTTTTAAAATTATTTTTTAAATTACTGATAAATTGTGGACTCCTGAGACAATATTCTGGTTTATAAAGAAAAGCGTGTTTCCATAAATGTCAGACTTTGTTCCTTCAAAGGTCAAACAGTGGATTTAGTGTCGGACTGATCCTCCAGCGTTGTTTAGACACAACCATTCATAGTTTTAATGTGAAATGACACAAAAAAGTAGAGTTTCAGTGCAGTTTTCTATCATTTTAACTCTTCATTTCTTAGTTATTGTTGATTTTTTAACTTTATATTTTTTGGAATAAAATGAAAACTTAGCCGTTGCTGTGAGATTTGAAAACTAGAAATTTATTTTTTCTTCCATTTTTAAAGTCATTTGTGGCTTTTTCCCCCACAAAGCTTCACTTTGGAAACTTTTATTGAACTATTATTGAATTACAATTTAATCACCTATTAGCTGATGACTACATTCAGACCAAAAGCTAATTTAAGAAGAGAAGCGTGTTTCCTTAAATGTGGGTTTAGTGTCGGACTGAGCCTCAAGTGTTGTTTAGACACAATCATTCATAGTTTAAATGTGAAATGACACAAAAAAAAGTAAAAATTTCAGTGCAGTTTTCTACCATTTTTACAAGATCACCTGTTTTTTTTTTTTGTTTTTTTTTCATTTTTCAAGTCGTTTGTGCTTTTTTTTCTCCTCAGAGCTTGACTTTGGAAACCATTTTTCTGGCTTTATTCCTCTGAAGCTCCAATTTTCCTCTTTTTTCTTTTTTTTTTAAACTTAAAAATGTCCAAACATAGCAGGAAAGTTCTGTGAGGTTTGGAAGACGGAAGTTTGTTGCCTCGTCTTGGTACGATGTCGTTCTCTTCTTCTGGCTCTTTCTGTAATCGAGGCTCAGATTGGTTTCTTGACCTCGAGGCTCCACTTCCAGGATTGGCAGCAGCAGCAGCTCCTCGTTGGTCCTCCTGGTTCTGGGCTGAGGAGGAACCTGCAGCTCCACCAGGAGGACTGTGAGGACCACCTTCTCTTTCTGGCCCTTTTCTTGCCCGGGTCTCAGAGTGGCTTCTTCCCATCCAGGTTGCACTTCGAGGATGAACATCAGCAGCTACTGGTGTTTCCTGCTGGTTCCTGGATGAGGAACTGCCTCCTCGTTCTGCGCTCTTTCGGCTGTTCGTTGGCAGAGACCGGCTCCTCTGCCTGGGGTTCCGATCCGAGGGTCTTCCTGTAGGTTCTGGCGGGTTCCTCTGCCTCCCCAGCAGCCTTTGCTTCACCTCGTAGCTCTCCCTGGACGGTCCGACGAGGTGAAGTCCGTCCTCCGTCTCACACACCAGCACCGAGCCGCAAACGTTTCGGTTTCTCCTAATGTCCTCCAGAAGAGCTTTGCCGTCCTGATCCACGTCTGTCCCGGGAACCTCCTGAGTGCGCAGCGACCTGTTGAGATCATTCAGGAGCTTCTGAAGTTCACCGGCGGCCACCTTGGAGCTCCTCCCCTGTAAGATGACAATGGAGCTGCCGCCGTTTTCCTCCACCTTTATTTCGACTTGGTTTCTGTTCAGGATGCCGTCGACATCTCGTCTCCTGAGCCGCTTGGCGTACCGGAACACGTCAGCATCGACCGGGAAGGACTCGTGTCTGCTCCTGAGTGAAGCATGTTGGTCTGAAGAAGGAAGACGTGGGGGCTCGTCGTTGGATCGAGACCTGGTGTCCTTCTCGTAGTACTTGGAGATGGCTCCAGAGGAAGGCGAAGGCGATCGTGGGGTCATCTTGGCTTGGGGCTCGATGAGATTCTCCAGTCGAACCTTCGCCGCTTTCAGCTCGAAAAAATCACCCTGAACGCGCCACCGACCTCCGCCCAGATCGGTCACCCGGAAGCCGTGAGACCGGAGGATGTCTAGGACGTGGGCCTCGTCTGGGAAAGGATCCAGAAGAATGGTTGCCTCCACTGGGACGTCCATCTGAGGAAGAGGAACACACGAGTCTGAGGAAGTAACCTGAGCTAACATCAGTCGACAAACAGTCAGCGTTCTGTTACCTCGGCTGCCTTCACCATCACGTGGGGTTTCTTCTGTAAAATTGTGAAACAAAACGCATTAAACTTGTCAATCAATCTCCCAGCACACACATCCAGGTTTAAAAAGCACAATATCTGCAAAATTACACCTTGTATCATCCAGAAAGTGGGGAAAAAAACTTAAACAACTGAGAAAACTTGAACTAATCATGTGATCTGTTCAGGTGT